TGTTGAAATTTGACTTTCATTTTCATTCTTTAAAAAGAAAAAATAGATGTGTTTTGTTATAAAGGTATCATTTTTTTAAAAAGATTTATTTGTCTGAGAGTGAGCGAGCATGAGAGAGTGCACAAATGGGGCAGGGGGGGCGGGGGGAGCAGAGGGAGAAGCAAGCTCCCTGCTAAGGTGAAGGCAGACGTTTAACCAAATAAGCCACCCAGGCATCCCTAAAGGTGTCATTAAAAAAGAATTAGTGCGTCAGTAGATCAAACTAACAACTAGTTATAGTGTTTACTTTCTCATCCCCTGTCGGCTTCCAAGAATTCACCGCCCCCCGCCCCCCCTTCCGGTATCCTTACCTCCTGAGCATTCTGTTCTACATTATTAGCTACTTCAGAGGCTGGGGAAAGTAGATCAGACATATTTTGCTCCTCCCTATTTCCATATCCAGTATAAACCACAATGCAGGTTTCCCTCTTAAAATCAATTGATGCAATGGTAGCTGGGTAAACACAGCCGTCTTCTGACCAAATGGCAGAACATTTGTCACCAACTTTCCACTATAAAAGAAACCAAAGATACTCGCATATTTCTTTTAAAGAGGATGAACTGCAGTCTTGTTTAGGTAGGGTATGGTAGGTTGTGGAGGGGACAGTCTCCAGTTACCTCATCTGGAATGCAGAATGATATAGTCAAAAAGGTTTGTGGCCAAAACACATAAATATGAATTTCCAATATAAATATAATTTTATTTATATAATCAAGCCACTTATTTGCCATATAAAATCTGCCATTTATATAATTGTGGACAAGTGTCTTAGTCTCATTTTCCTTGTCTGTTAAGTAACTATGATAAAATCTACCTCATATACTTGTTATGAAGAAGAGAAAGGGGGGGAAAGTGTGTAAAGTGTCCTGCACTCTGGTCCAGCACATAGGGAGAGCTTATCAAATGTTAGCTCTCTTCCCCCTTGGTAATGATAAAACTAAAGGAACTGATAAGACACCAAAATATTTAGCTTTCAGGTCTACTATTTTATATAGGAGAAATGATTCCACCCAGAATATTTGGTTCCTGGGTATTAGTTTAAGGGACCACAGAAGCTGTGGTCCAAAGGGAGGGTGGAAATAAAAGCATAGCCATCTCTCAACTTAAGCAGAATATTGCCAATTCAGATTAAGGCTCTGAGATACTCCTCCCAAATAGCACTGGGTTCCTCAACCCCACCCCTCACATGAAGTAAACACAATCTTCAATGGATCATTCCCACCTAATTCATTATGCTTTTATTAACATGTATGTTCCTAAACTATAGAAACTTTAATAGCTATTTTAGAAATTTTGTGATTACCTGTCAATGGAAAACACTATACTAATCATTTAACTTAATATTTTACACTATTATTAAAAACAGTAACAAGAAATTCTCTGAAGTTCAATCTCAATGTTTTAAAATAACCTGCTTCAGGGGTGTTGTAGCATTCTTTTTTTGGCTTTTATTCTTCTTAGCAGGTTTTCTTTTAGGTGCGCCTTTTGGTTTATCTGAAGCTTCAGAAATGTCACCATTCTTTAGAGCATGCTATGAAAACAAGAATAGAAATGTACATGTTACAGGGTAAGACATCAAAGAAGTTTAACAAAAGAACTCAGTCACTACAAGCTGGTCTCAAAGCCCCATCAACGTAGACAGCCTCTACTTCCTCTTTCCACCATCCCACACACCACAGAAACTACTCGGAAGGCATCATATATCTGATTATCAGCTCTAAGGACCCTTTTATTTATTCTATTTATTTTTTAAAGATTGTATTTATTTATTTGTCAGAGAAAGAGAAAGAGAGGGAGAGAACACACAAGCAGGGGGAGTGGCAGAGGGAGAAGCAGGCTCCCCGCTGAGCAGGGAGCCCGATGTGGGGCTCGATCCCAGGACCCTGGGCTCATGACCTGAGCCGAAGGCAGACACTTAACCGACTGAGCCACCCAGGCGACCCTCTAAGGACCCTTTGAATTAAGTCCTCACTTTCACCCTTTCTGGAACATTATATTCTGTTGATCATTTGTCTTGAAATTTATGACATATTGGATGATATAGCAATGCAGAACTCCAATGCTTTATTACCTCTCTGATCAAGTCTTAAACTTTGGCATTCACAAAGAGAACTGTCCATCCTTCTTTACCTGCTTATGATCATCTATTCCTATTAATTCAATTATAATCTCTATGCAAACGGACTTTTAAAGTTATTATCCAGGTGACATTTCTTCTTCATTCAATTTAACATTTCCAATTACCAATTTCCTATCTTCACATTTACTTCACACTCAACACAATTAAAAGTAAACTATCGGGCACGTGGGTGACTCAGTAGATTAAGTATCCAACTCTTGATTTCAGGTCAGGTCACAATCTCAGGGTCATGAGATTGAGTCCCACATCGGGCTCTGTGCTCAGCATGGACTCTGCTTGGGATTCTCTCTCTCTCCCTCTCCCCCATCCCCTCTTCATACTCTCTAAAAAATAAAATAAATCTTTTTTTTTTTAAAGATTTTATTCACTCAAGACACAGAGATACAGAGAGAGACAGAGAGAAAGAGCACAAGCAGGGGGAGAGGCAGAGGGAGAAGCAGGCTCCCCGCTGAGCCAGGAGCCGGACAGGGGGCTCGATCCCAGGACCCTGAAATCATGACCTGTGCTGAAGGCAGATGCTTAACCATCTGAGCCACCCAGGCGCCACTAAGTCTTTTTTCTTTAAAACGCTTCCTAATCTTTATTTTTTTTTATTATGTTATGTTAGTCACCATACAGTACATCATTAGGTTTTGATGTAGTGCTCCATGATTCATTGTTTGCATGTAACACCCAGTGCTCCATGCAATTCGTGCCCTCCTTAATACCCATCACCAGGGTAACCCATCGCCTAACCCCCTCCCACCTAAAACTCTCAGTTTGTTTCTCAGAGTCCATAGTCTCTCATGGTTCGTCTCCCCCTCTGATTTCCGCCCCTTCATTTTTCCCTTCCTTCTCCTAATGTCCTCCATGCTGTTCCTTATGTTCCACAAATAAGTGAAACCATATGATAATTGACTTTCTCTGCTTGACTTATTTCACTTAGCATAATCTCCTCCAGTCCCATCCAGGTTGACACAAAAGTTGGGTATTTGTCCTTTCTGATGGCTGAGTAATATTCCATTGTATATATGGACAAAATAAATCTTTAAAAATAAATAAATAAAAGTAAACTATCTTTTCCTCTACTCAGACTACTTCCCTCTGCAATATCATCAATTCCATACAATGCTGAGCCCCACTTTAATCTGCATTTTACAGAACCCCACAATAGTATGCTTCTACTCTAAGGGTATACTGAAAAGCATTACTGACAAATTGGAATTCAGCTTCAAGGATGACATACAGGTTTGATCTTTACCTCATGCTACAGGAGTGACTAAAGGAAAGAAGTGGACTTTGTACCTGGTGCTCTCTATGAGTATATGTTCTTACTATTGATGGCCCATGCATGGTGCTCAAAAAAACTAAATATTTCACATGGTAGGCAAAGTGATAATGCTGGACAACTGTGTAAATGTCTTGTTTGGGCCACAAAAACACACTACATCCCTTAAAAGAATAGTATATTCCTACCATCAGGAACACTTGACTTGATAACCAACTCACAGGATTTGGAGAAGATTAATTTAATATAAGCACAGCACTTAGAACGGTGCCTAAAATGTTGTAAACACTCTACAAGTACTAATTATAGCACTACTGATATTTATCATTATTATTTCAATGAAGGCTTGTTAAATGAAAATTATAATTCAGGCCGCCCTTCCACTAATCTGAATTAGAGGACTTCTATAGTTTGATACAATGCAAACACATTACAAGTAATTAGTGTTTAAAATTCTACTTCAGTTGCCTTTGTTAAAGGGATGAAATACAGAGAGCCTACCAACTTTTTAAAGGAAGATTATCAGATTATCAACTAACCAGTGATATCTATTGGTCTTCAAAATTAGAACTGAGTAATATGTACATTAACAGTTATCAGTTAATTTTTTTCCCAAATGATTAACATGAGGAAATAAGGAAAACAGTAAGTAAACATTTCATACCTTAAACGAAGCCACAGCTTTATCATAAGCTTTTATTAATGCTGTATCATCCCAAATGTCAGAATCATCACTCTGGGAAGCGTAAAGAACAAAAACAAGATTTAAATGGATTTCATCAAAATGTATGTTAGATGGTATCAGGAGCCATCTTACTTCAGACATAATGAAATTACACTAAAAACAGGTATTTAAAATCCTAAATAAAACTACAGAAAGCCTACCTACTTAAGAGAGTATGTGACATTACCCCCAAAGTCAGACCTATATAAATGCTCTAAGAGGTACACTGAAAAGTGAATGCTCCCATTTTTTTTACTGATAAAATTATTTTTTTAAAGATTTTACTTATTTATTTGACACAGAGAGAGAGAGATAGCGAGAGAGAGGGAGAGAGCACAAGCAGGGGGAGCAGCAGGCAGAGGGAGAAGCAGGCTTCCTGCGTGAGCAGGGAGCCCGATGTGGGGCTTGATCCCAGGACCCTGGGATCATGACCTGAGCTGAAGGCAGTGGTTTAACCAACTGAGCCACCCAGGCGCCCTTTACTGATAAAATTTTTTATTTCACTTTTGATTTTTTACACTTTTCCTGATTATTCCGTGTTAAGGTGGAAACTAGAACTGTTTAAAAGACATACACAAATCTAGTACATCAATAACCGGGGATTTTTCTTTTTCTTTTTTTTTTTGCTATACTATTTTCACAACCACAGGAGTGCTTGCTAGGCAATACAACCGTTACAGAAGCAAACGTGAGGCAGAATACTGCTAAGGAAAAACAGAAGAAAGAGCTACCAGATATACAGACAGGCTCGTTCCACATTCACTACTGCATTTTCAAGCGCCAAGTATTAACTGTACCTTTTGTTCAGCTAGAAAGGGGGGATTTTTTTTTTTCTTTTTGGTTTTAAGTCAGTGCATGAATGTTTCTTTTCTCGTTTCAGCAGATGGACAAACAGGTGGACACTACAGCTACGTGGAATGTTCAAGGGAGAGGGGGTACTGTGAGACTGGTAGGCCTGGCTATTCTGGACTCTCCCCACTGTGGTGTTCATACAACTTCCCTGCATTATAGGGTCTTTTTCAAACAGGTCTGTGAACTTGGCTAGAGGAGCACACTTGGGAGATCTGGTGACAGGTACTAACAAGCATTATCAGGGCTGGCTGCAACACAGAGAGAAATCATGGGTATTTAAAAACACTTTTTTGGGCGCCTGGGTGGCTCAGTTGGTTAAGTGACTGCCTTCGGCTCAGGTCATGATCCTGGAGTCCCGGGATCGAGTCCCGCATCGGGCTCCTTGCTCAGCAGGGAGTCTGCTTCTCTCTCTGACCCTCTTCCCTCTCGTGCTCTCTGTCTCTCTCTCTCAAATAAATAAATAAAATCTTTAAAAAACAAAAAACAAAAAACACTTTTTTGATTCAATCTCGGTCTGACTGAAGAGCAACAAGCGTGCTGAGAACCGGAGGAAGCCAGAGCTGTGTGCTGGAAGTTCTTCTCAACTCTGAAGCGAGGCCTGCTGACCAACGTGCTCACCATCTTTGCTTACCCCCTTCAGGCCCCCACCCTGCCCAAACAGTATTAAAGAACAGAAGACAACGACAGAATTCAAAAAGAAAAAAATGTAAGGAAACAGGACAGAAACTTAAAGAGGGAAAAGAAAAACCAAAGTCAACAGTCAAAAAGGACAGTGGGAAGAATGTCTGATTTCAAAATTTAAAAGCCCCAAGCTAGGAAGCACCCAAAGACTGAGTACTTCTTAAGTGAAAGGCAATCTCTGCAGAACATGACTCTTAAAGGTATTACCCAGGAAACAGATAAGGCCATTCATAAGATACACGGCTTTTTTCTTCTTCAGGTCCTGGTTACAAGGAAAACAGATTCCACTACTGGAGCAGAAATTGCAAATCAGTAAGATGGCTGTGGGAAAGGGGTGTCAGTCACGTGTTCTAGGAACACTGGACCTTTTCATGGTGTCAAAACCCAATTATCTGCCACAAAGAGCTTCCATTTCAGGCTTCGAGTTTACTCAGAGGAAGACACTGTGGACATCTGCAGTCATGAACTTTCGAGTGGCAACAGCCCAAACTGGCCAAGTATCTGTAATCCCCAAAAAACAGGCAGAACTACTCTGAGTTGCTGTCACACTTGAATGTCATAGGACAGGTGTCTCACTCCATGTCCCAATATAATCTCTGTAACTTTTTGTACAACTTTACAATGGAACTGTTATTTCAGTGACTAGTTTGATATCAGATTAAACTTTCCAAAAAGAGACACATAATTCAGGTCTAGTTTTTCTACCAGTAAGAGTTCTGCTAAGTTACAAAACCCCATAATCACAGTGTTCAGTTTAAAAAAAATTCAACACACAGTAATCCTATCAATGTTAATCAAAATCAAAATTTCAGAATGCCGTGGCATTTATGTGACCAATCTGAGTTTTATTTTTTTATTTTTTTAAAGATTTTATTTATTTATTTGAGAGAGAGAATGAGATAGAGAGAGTGAGCATGAGACAGGGGAGGGTCAGAGGGAGAAGCAGACTCCCTGCTGAGCAGGGAGCCCGATGCGGGACTCAATCCTGGGACTCCAGGATCGTGACCTGAGCCGAAGGCAGTCACTTAACCAACTGAGCCACCCAGGCGCCCCCAATCTGAGTTTTAGATACAAACACCAGCTGTTTATCCCATGAACCATTTTGCTAGCTGAGGCTGTGAAAAATTCAAAGTCAACGTATGACTCTTTTTTTTTTTTATTACACAAAGGGATATATGTGGAGGGTACAGAGTGACATTGAACAGATCACGAAACACAACAGACATTAGTTCTCTCCCTCCTCAGCATCTCCTTCATCTCCCTGGTTTTCCGACGTCCACAGTGTGAGATTGTCCCTAAGCAACTGCATGATCAGGGTGCTGTCTTTGTAAGACTCTTCATTCAGTGTATCCAATTCAGAAACTGCTTCATCAAATGCTGTTTTTGCCAGGCTGCAAGCCTTTTCAGGAGAGTTTAGAATCTCAGAGAAGACTGAGAAATTCAGAGCCAGGCCAAGTCGAATTGGGTGTGTAGGCTGCATTTCTTTCTTACTAATTTCAAATGCTTCCTGGTAAGCCTGCTGGGAGTTCGACACAGTGGTTTATTATCTCCAGATGCCACCTCAGAAAGGTATCTAAAATAATCTTTCATTTTCAAGTAGAACACCTTGCTTTCTGGTTGTGTAGCATTGGGAATAAGATATTTGTCCAACAGCTCCAGAACATCATTGCAGATGTCCTGCAGTTCGGCCTCTATCTTCTCCTGGTACTCTCTGCCCATCTGCTGCTGCTTCTCATTCCTCTCAGTTTTCTGCTCAGTGCTGGGGAGGACGCGCCAGGAAGAGCGGGGGGCACCCACCACGTTCTTGTAGGCAACGGAGAGCAGATTTCTCTCCTCATCGGAGAGTTCGTGCCCCTGTTCCGTGACGGCCTTCATGGCTGCAGCCATGTCGTCATAGGGCTCGGCCTGCTTGGCAAGTTTGGCTTTCTGTACCAGCTCACTTTTATCCATGGTCATTCCTGGGGGGAGGGCAAGAGGAGGCAGACGCTTGTGAGCGAAGCTCCGAGCGTGGTGACCTCTTCCTTCCCAAGCCCACTCCTCAGGTGGCAGCGGTCGAATGCTCCACAATTTAATGAGTAAGTGAATATGTTCAAGGGTAACCCATGTTTGAATCTTTTCTAAGAGCCAATAAAGGGTTTAGCTTGGCAGTGTGGGAAAATATCTGGCCATTAGCTTGAGTTTATACAGACAATGGTAATGCTAGTCTGACCACAGAATCTGTGGTCCAAAAAATATTCTTTTCCCCTTGACTTACGCTATGTCTAGATTACTCAAGGAATTCTCAAAATGTTTAAGGTTATAAATTATTAATAGTGACTAATCAATTTTCATTTTATTTTATTTTTTTAAAGATTTTATTTATTTATTTGACAGAGAGAGAGACAGCCAGAGAGGGAACACAAGCGGGGGAGTGGGAGAGGGAGAAGCAGGCTTCCCGCGGAGCAGGGAGCCCGACTGTGGGCTTGATCCCAGGACCCTGGGATCATGACCTGAGCCAAAGGCAGACACTTAATGACTGAGCCACTCAGGGGCCCCTATTATTTTTAAAGATATTTATTTATTTATTTGACAGAGTGGGACAGGGAGGGGGAGAGAGAGAGAACACAAGCAGAGGAGTGACAGGCGGAGGGAGAGGGAGAAGGAGGCCTCCCAATGAGCAGGCAGCTGGTTGCAGGACGACTGAGCCACCCGTGTGCCCTTGGAGAGGACGTTCTTAAGAGTAAAACATATAGCAACTCAAAATCCTCACATGCCAATGGTTACTGTCAGATCAGGGAAACAACGCATTTCAAAATGAAAAGACAGCTCAGATTTTATACAAAGCTATTAAAACAAAAAATACTGTAGCTGATAAAACTTCCCAAATAACAATCACAAAAAGAGGGAAACAACACCCAAAATGAAGTTAAATATTCTTAAACTAGCATCCACAAACCACCTTGAATCAAATATTTAAAAAATTTAGATGGCAAAACGGCAAAAGGCCAGGATTTGAATCAGGAGTTAAAAATCAAGAAAGAAATGGAAGAAAAAGTAATGTTGGCTACAAAGTACCCAGAGAAGAATACATCTGACTGAAAACTTAAGTGGTACTAAGGAAAAGCCATTAAAAAAAATAAGAAAAATAAGAAGTGAAATGATAAATATGGATGACTAGCAAAGAATATTTAACATATGTATAAATGGGGTCCCTGAAGAATTATGGCTAAAAAAACAAAAACAAACAAAAACTCTAAAAAACCTCGTAGAGCCTGTAAACAAAAAGACAAGGTCACTTACAAAATAAAGAAAATCAATTAATATTAGACTTTCCCATAGAAATTTATGGGAAAAAGTATGAGCCAAGGATCTTGTGATACACCCTACCTGTCCTTAGAGTACCAAGACTAACTTTACAATGTGCAAGAACACTATACTCACTAGTCTTTGCAGAGGAATCTACTGAAAATAAGCTTCATCCAACTAAGATATGAACAGGGAAATCTTGGGTTAAAAAAACAAACCAAACCAGGGGCGCCTGGGTGGTTCAGTCATTAAGCGTCTGCCTTCAGCTCAGGTCGTGATCCTGGGATCGAGCCCCACATCGGGCTCTCTGCTCAGTGGGAAGCCTGCTTCTCCCTCTCCCATTCCCCCTGCTTGTGTTCCCTCTCTCGCTATCTCTCCATCAGATAAAGTCTTTAAAACAAAACAAAACAAAAAACAAACCCCAAGCTGTTAGCATCAAATATATGTAACTGCAGTTCTAAGAGAAAAGTAAAGTACACACGACCCTTAAACAACAGAGGGTAGAGGGATCAGGGGTGCCAACTCCTCCCTACCCCACCTCCTACCCACCCCAGTCAAAAATCTGTGTATAACTTTTTTTTTTTTAAAGTAGGCTCCATACCTAACATGAGGCTTGAAGTCACGACCTAAAATAAAGAGTCACATGCTCTACTGACTGAGCCAACCAAGCATCCCTATATATAACTTGATTCACCCAAACCTTAACCACTAATAGCCTACTGTTGACCAGAAAGAAGGCTTACAGGGAACATGAACAGCCCATTAACACACATTTGATAAAAAATATTATATACTATATTCTTACATTGAAATAAACTAAAAAAAATATTAAAATCCTAAAGAAAATACATTTATAGTACCATACTGTATTTATGGCAAAAAATTCATATAGCTGGACCTGCACAGCTCAAACCGGTGTTGTTCAAGGGTCAATATCTATTAAATTGACAAGCTGATTCTAAAACTCAAATGGAAATACAAAGGACCGAGAATAGCCAAAACAATTTTTTTTGCTTTTTAAAAGATTTTATTTATTTGAGAGAGCGAGCACGAGGGAGAGCAGGGGGGAGGGGCAAAGGAAGAAGCAGTCTCTCCACTGAACAGGGAGCCCACGCTCTTATCTCAGGACCCTGAGACCATGACCTGAGCCAAAGGCAGATGCATAACCCACTGAGCCACCCAGGTGTCCCTAGCCAAAACAATTTTGAAAAAGCTAAGCAAAGCTGGAGGATTTATATTATCTGACTTTAAGATATATGTGAAGCTACAGTAATCAAAAAGTGTGATATTAGCATCAAGATAGAGACTAATGTAATAAAACTGAGTCATAAATAGTCCCATACACATGATTGATTTGAAACAAAGGTACACATGCAATTTAGTAGAGAAAGCACAGTAGTGTCAACAAATGTTGCTGAAACAATTGGAAACTCTTATGCAGAGAAAAAGAATGTGCAACCCTATCTTGAGCCATACTCAAAAATTAATTCCTAATGGATCAGAGAAATGTAAAACATAAAACTGTGTAAAACTTAAGAGCCAAATGCAAATCAAAACCCCATTGAGATATTAACTCACACCCGTCATAATGGCTAAAATCAAAAACACAAGAAACAAGTGTGGGTGAGGATGTGCAGAAAAAGGAATCCTCATGCACTGTTGGTGACAATGCAAACTGGACCAGCCACCATGGAAAACAGTATGGAGATTATTCAAATTAATAACAGAACAACCCCTCCCCCTGCAAAAAGAACTACCCTATGATCCAGTAACCACACTGAATATTTACCCAAAGAATAAAAAAACACTAACTTGAAAGGATATATGCACCCCTATGTTTATTTTAAAAAATCATCTTATTTCATCATAGATGTATTCTTTAATCCCCATCTCCCCACCCACCTCCCCTCTCAAAATCATCAGTTTGTTCTCTATAGTTAAGAGCCTTTCTTGGTTTATCTTTTTCCTTTGTTTTCTTTCTTTTCTTTCTTTCTCTCTTTCTCTCTTCTCTCTCTTTCTTTTTTTAAAGTAGGCTCCAGGCCTAACATGGAGCCCAATGCAGGGCTTGAACTCATGACCCTGAGATAGAGACCTGAGCTGAGATCAAGAGTCAGACGCTTTACCAACTGAGCCACCCAGGCGCCTGTTTGTTTTGTTTTTTAAATTCCACAGAAGAGTCAAATCAGATGGTATTTGTTTTTCCCTGACCTATTTCACTTAGCATTATACTCTCTAGCTCTATGCATGTTGTTGCAAATGGCAAGACTTCATTCTTTTCTATGACTAAGTAACATTCCATTGTCCATACATGCCACATCTTCTTTTATCCATTCATATATCAATGGACACTTGGGTTGCTTTCAATTTGCCTAGTGTAAATAATGCTGCTATAAATACAGGGGTGCATGGGACGCCTGAGTGGCTCAGTCGGTTAAGCAGCTGCCTTTGGCCCGGGTCATGATCCCAGGGTCCTGGGATCGAGTCCCACATCGGGCTCCTTGCTCAGCAGGGAGCCTGCTTCTCCCTCTCTCCCTCTGCTTGTACTGTCAAATAAA